CATATACATACACATACACATGCAAATATCCATATATATATATATGTCTATACATACATGTATACCCATACATATAACTGTACACATACATAAACATGAACATATACGAATACCTGTACACTGACACCTACGAATACATATACACATGCATATATATATATATATATATCAACATGTGCACGTGCATATACCTATGAATATGAATATTCATGTACGCATGCATACAGTGTTACATATATATATATATATATATATGATGTGTACATGTGTATATACATTGCATAGCTGCATGCATATGCATATACATATGCACAAGCATACACATGCACGCATACATGCACATATGAATATCACATATGCATACGCATATACCTATACATATGCAAATACACATTCGCATACATAATCATGCGCATGTACATATAGATATGCACGTACAAATACATATACACATACATATACATATGAATATACATATACATCTACATGTACTAACTAATACCAATACATATACCTACATATGCACATACACATATAACTGTGCATATACACAAACATATAGATATGCAAATACAAATGTAGAAATATGAAAGCATACACTGCAACGAATACGGCCAGGAGAGCGACCCAATTCTTCACAGTTGCATGTACCGCTGAGAACGAACATGTTCGGCGTCCCAACCCTGGAAAGTTTGGGCGGAACACCCGAAAGCCGAAGGCGAGAAGGAAAAGTCCAAACCCTGGAAATGGAACGGCCCCACCCTGGAAAGGGTGCCCGCAGCCAAACCCTGGAAAGTGAAAGGCCCAACCCTGGAAACCCCAGCCCGAGCATTGGAGAGCACGACGAATGGAGGAGGAAGAGGAAAAGGAGGAGAAAGAGGAGGAGGAATACAGGAAGAGGAGGCCCTTATATTGGCTGCTCTGTGCAGGGTCACGATCCCTGACAAACACTATGCGAAGCGCAGGTTCCTGCAAAATCTGGGTCCTGCGCCGGCGCCCCGCGATCACGGTGCACTGGCTTTTGACAGGGACGGCGGGGGGGCCCTCATTCTATCTGCTCCGTGTTTCCGACGGACCTCATGAACTCAATGGGATCCGGGCCCCAGGCTCGGATGCTGCGCTGGGGGGGCGGGTGGGAGTGAGCGACGCAAGGCCGAATTCATGACATTCCCCTGTCTGTAAGAAGCACAACCCCCGTGAAGAGTGCGCCGAACGTCGCGGGGAACCGCAGGCAAACATTTCACTGCAAACGTAAGTGGGGGTCGCGTGACGGGTGCGCCGAAACGGGCGAAAGCACTTATGCAAAATGTCCCACTGAGCGCACGGACACGGACACGGCGCCTACTCGTACAGGGGGGCAGCCCTTCGAGGGGCTATAGAAAATTGGGCACAAAAGTGAAAAAGGACCAGCTGTCCGACTCACTCGATCAGATGATCCTGTCCTTGTCTCAACACGCAAAATTGCCTGCGTTTCAGACCATGAGAGGCTTTCTGGATCACTTGCTTTCTAAGTTTGTCCGCCACTTGTCCGAATAAGGATTGTCAAAACGCCAATCCATACTCTGTTGGGTCGACCCGGAAATCGCTTTGCGCTCGAGTCGGTCTCGGATAGGTCCCATGGCAGAGCCTTTCCACTGCATGTCCCGCGCCGTCGTTGATTCATCTTGCAAAAGAATCCATTGCAAGTATTTTTGTCGTGTGCACCCGTCGATTATGGGCTATATTTGTTCCGCTTGTTTTGTTGCGCGTCTTTTCCAGTCCGGCCAGGGTCCCATTGCAGCCGTAGGAGGGAATGTGCTCGATGTGATGGTGTAGTTGCACGGCTGGTGCCAACGTCATTACTACCACCAAAACTGACCACAGTAGTGTCTTCGCTGTTGGACCGGAGTCCATCATTCATTTCCATTGCGATCTCTGGACGGTGATGTCGTGGTGGCCCAGAAACAATTATGAGCATTTGGCGTTGGGTGGACCGCACCCGCGCTTCCAATACAGTTGGCATCGTTCACGAACAAGCAGCATACAAACGCGCAGGGTCAACACTGCCATTGAACAGCCGAAGACGGCCTATCAAAGAATACGACCGTGTAGTAAGCTCGTGCAGCTCTTGCTTGCAGAAGCTGAACTTGTCCTATGCAGCTCTGATTATGGATTCAGGCTCCGTCGCAGTCGGGTAGCAGAATATGCGGTCCCGGATACGTCTACGATGCGGAAAAAAAACAGATGTCGATAATGTGTTCGTTGACGACTGCCTGCTCGGGGCTGCATCGCGATGTTCTATCTCGTGGGTTGTGGAATATGTGTTTCCCCTGGGTGTATCTCCAGTCTGGTGGGGCGATCGCATGTTAGCTGTCTCACAGATGATGCGATCGGCACCACGTCATCTGCAAACCGAAGTTGTGTCAGACCATGGTGCGTGTTCGTGACAGGCCTAATTCATGCCGTACCCCTGTCCGTCCACTTCTCTCGAAGCTTGCTGAAGATGCCTCCCGATGAACAATCCCACCAGCCCTCTGGGCGTCGGTGGTTTAGGGCGTTTCCTCTTCCACCCCTCCCTCTTCCCCTTCGGGGAGGGGTTTACCCCTCCCCCTACCCCCTCCCCACTGACCTGGACAGGAGGGGCGGGGAGCGGTCAGAGCGTCCAAAACGGCCTCGGCGAGGAAGCCAAAATCATTGATTTTACTATGGTTTTGGCCCCATTTTGGCCTTCTGAGGGGGCAGCGCTAATTAGAGCTCCCCTCTTCTTTGATCGATTTCCTCCACGATGGCCGCAAGAGGCCCCCAGGATGCCCCAAGAGGCCGCAGGATGGCCCCAAGATGGCCCCAAGAGGCCCCCCAAGAGGCCCCCAGGAGGCCCCCAAGAGACCCCCAAGAGGCCCCAAGAGACCCCCCAGAGGCACCCAAGGTGCTCCCAGAGGCCTTTTTACTATGGTTTGGGCCCCATTTTGGCCTTCTGAGGGGGCAAAGATGGCCCCAAGAAGCGCCCAGGAGGCCCCCAAAGGCCCCAAGATGGCCCCAAGAGGCCCCAAGAGGCCCCCAGGAGGCCCCAAAGAGGATCCCGAACGGCCCACAGAGGCCCCCCGAGGCACCCAAGACGCCGAAAAGCCCCTCAGGACGACCCTCTACTCGCCTGGGCGTCGTTTCTGGACGGGCTGGTGGGGATACGCGAAGCGTCTAGAATTGAAAAACAACGTGGGTGGAACTCCCTGTGGGGCACGATCGTCGTGAGAGGGGTGTGCCGAAACGGGCGTCGGCGTCATATGCACCATCCCACTGGGCCGTAGATGCTCTCTGTGGGGCCACGAAACGCGTGAGAGGTGTTCCAAAATGGATGGCGCAGCTATGCGGACCATCTCATTGGGACCACGTCGGGTGCACCGAAGTGGGCGGCGCCACCATGTGGACACTGCCACTGAGACTGCACGTGGAGCACCTTATGCGGCCACGATCCCCCTGACGGGTACGCCAAAAGGAACGGCACCGACATGCGGACCGTGCCACTGGGGCCGTAGGTGGAGCTCCACACGACGGGGGTAGTGAGGCTGTAAGTGAAGCTTCCCATGAGGGCCGCGAATCGCGCGAGTTGTGTGCCTCAATGGGGCGGCGCCGCCATACGCCAGCGCCCATTAGGGCCATAGGTGAACCCCACGAGACGCGAGAGGTATGCTGGAAAGGGGGCGATGCCGCCCTACGACGGAGCCCACTGAGACCGGAGGCGGAGCTCCACAGAGGGCCACGAAGCGTGTGTGTACAGAAGTGGTTCCGCCCCTCTTTCGGCCGCTTCCTCTGCTGTCCCCCCTTTCTCCTGCACGGTGGCACAATTCGCTACAACGGTACCCCGTTTAGGTAGCCCTGCGCCTGCGCAGTTACCCTGCCTAGCCACCGACGCAAAAAGTGTATTGAAATGGGCACGAAGAGGAAAGAGGCGGAATGAGAGAGGGGAGGAGGTGAATGGGGAGATGAGCGCAATGTTGCTTCAAAACGAAGACCCAGCTTCCATTGAAGGGTTGGCAAAACTCGGCCACATTCGAACCAGGGCATAGCGCTGAAGTGAAAGATGCGGTTCGCTATCGAATGCAGTGCTCATATCGGAGCACAGGACACGCATGAGCAGGTGTTTCAACAACGTTCCTTGCAACACAAACGTGCTTGACTTTCTCCGCTCCACATCCACGTAACGGCACAACATGGCAATGCCCCCTGTGCCAAGACACGCTTTGCGGAAATACAGCTGCACGTCCAACATCCTCGCTCGAATCTGGCGACGCAACCTGCGTGGCGGTCACGTGCGCCTCGGGAACGGAAACCAATACCACCCGTTGTGAACACATACCCGAACGCAGGAGAAGCAGCACGATGCGAAGTGCGCACCATCGGGGGTGAGATGGCTGCGAGCCCAGAGTGCAAAGACATATGTCCAAAATAACTGGTCCCTGTGCATGATGAACTGAAAAGCTACCCACCACACAAGCAGAAATACAGTGAAAAGGAGGGGGACACTCATGCATGAGATCACGGGCAGAAAGGAAAAGTCAGCGGGAGCGTGCTCGATGAACAGGAGCAGACATGGCAAATCTACAGTTCTGACAAGAATGTATTGCATGACCTGCGCACGAACGGTGAGCATCAAGCACTACAAGATGCATTCCAAGATGGAGTTAGATACTATAGAGCCAGGTGGCGGCCTCATCACGATCCACCACGGACGCGGCGGTTTCTGCCATGCAGACACACCGACATGGGAAAACATGTTCACAGATGTCCTGCCTGTCCTCGCCCGACACATGTTTTCCGAAGTCCACCCGGGGCGACGGGGGGCCACTGTACGGCCACACGTAACAGCCCTTGCCCGATCTACCCCTAGCGGACCAACCCCCACCCACCGCTAGAACGCTCTAGGCTGGAACTCCCATTTACGAAAAGAATCGGGGACAAAGACATGCCGGACATCTTCATACTGCGTGGTCGCACCTCCCTATACCATTGAGCCGGCAGCCGCTGCGGTGGACAATGAACCTGCACAAAGAGCGCGGCAAGCCCCCATGCGCTGGAGCGGTGGAAATCCCAAGAGGTCTTCATGTCGAACCGTTCAAGCGTGCGTGACAACACCAAGAAAAAATTGGTTGGGAAGCGGTTTCAGTTGGCATCATGATAGGCGCCCACCTGCGGTACCGAATCAAACGTTACGTTCGCCCCAACTGCTCCAATAATCGATGCCAGCAATACCACTTGCACATTGAAGTGGCCTTAGCAACAACAGCAGTGCTATTAGCGCAAAGCGTTTCAGCTCACGTGCGGCAAAAAACATCGGCTGTGACTCACAGAAGCAAGAAAAATGCGTCGTGTAAATGAGAAGCACCCCATGGACACGCGGCCCCCCCTCAGACCTGATCACTTTTGATCAAACCAATCGCAGCTGACCCTCGGCCTCACTGCAGCGCACATATATAAAATTCGTTGGAATAACGTCCGCAAAAACAATCAAACCAGAAGCGAACACAAGGAAAGCAAGGGCTCCGTCCTGCATGCCCATATGGACAAACGGCGTAGTAGTTAGCACCTCCATCACGATTTCCACACGCACCACCCATCCGATGTCACTCACTCAGCGGGAAACTGTGGCTACCGAATCCAAAGCCGCCCCAGGAAAAGCAGGAACAGGCGGGCCCCGCCAGACATCGCATAGCGACCTAACTCTGCGCCGTCAGGGGCGCGAAGGGCATCACGGGCATCACGGGAGTCTGGGGCGTCACGGGCGTCCCGGGCGTCACGGGCATCAAAGGCGCCACGGGCGTCAAACTCTTCAGGGGCGCCACGGGCGTCGGAGGCGTGTGAATATCCGAATATGAAAAGTGAAAGCCAAAGCAGGAATCGAAACGGCACAAGAAAACACAAGGGACACCGCGTGCGAATGGCAAAGCAAGACAGCATGGCTACATCTCCGTGAAAAGACTTGATAACAACAGTGGCACAAGGATGGAAACCAAAACGATGTTGGATCAGACCAGGCGGGGCCCGTCGCACGAAGCGACATCAGCCTGGCAATGTTGAGGAAAGACGTCTCGTCTGCATTGCGCGGTGCACGTTAGCCATCCGACTGCGGGAACCGAGTCGCTCGGCAGAACGCGGAACCACCCACGCCAGCGGCCCTGTGAAGGACCAATTTGGAAGATCACCCGGGCCATAAGTGGCGCCCGCCCCCCACTTTCGCCACCGGACGCGCAAGCCAAAGCATGGCATATCAATGACCTGGCCCATGGTGCACGCCTGCGCACGTTGCCAACATTGAAGGGCGAATGTCACATAATGTTCCTTTTCGGGCGTTGCCGTGTGCAAATCATTCAAGACGATCGTCTTGCTGATTGTGTTATTACTTTTCTCCTGGCTGCGTGGATGTCGAACCAGTTTGGGCGCGTCCAAATCGTTATGGCGGCAATTTCCCTATAGCGTCGGCAAACTCTGCCGTTCGGCCAGATGGAATGGGAAGCGCGCAACCCCTGATAAACGCAACGGCACCCGAGCGGCTGCCGCGCTCCGTCGCGGCCCCCCTGGGAGGTCACGGGGGGGACGCGGGGAAACAGAACGCGAAGATGCGTGGGAGGAGGAAAACGAGGGGGAAGAGCAAGAGGATTAGAAGGAAGAGGCGAGTGAGCACGCCGATGATGTCTCGGCAGGAGAGCGAGAGATAAGAAGTAGCCGGCGACGTGGCGAGAAAGCACGTCATCTTTGTCGTGGTCGTCGTGGTCGCCGTGGTCGCTGTGGACCCCGTCGTTGTCGTAGTCGTAGTCGTAATCGTCGTCGTCGTCGTCGCTGTCGTCGCGGTCGCCATCGTCGTCGTCCTCGTCGACGTCGCCGCGGTCATCGTCGTCGTCGTCGTCGTCGTCCGCCGTTCTTGGCAAGAACGGCTGCGCCTGGGGCCGAGAAGCCGCCCGTCTTGACTGGGCCTCCCAGAACTGCGACACCTGTGGGGCCTGCGGGACCTGCGGGGCCTGCGACACTTGCGCGACCCGTGAAGCCTGGGGGGCCCGCGGAGCTGAAGAAACCAATGGGACCTGCCGGGCGTTGTCCAAGAAACCGCGTCGACGATCCGGCGGGAGGCGACTTCTACCATGTAAAGTCACACACGGAATGCAGTTTAGGTTGCCCAGCAATCCCACTAAACGATCAGGCGGGCGCGGGTTCAGTGCGTGAACTCAAACGCAGAACGCACTCCGCATAAGCGGCGTGCCCTGGCGTGCCCACTTGACGATTTGTTTTTGTCCCGCGTTTCGCGCGTGGAAGACAGGACGGGAAGCCTCCATCGCAAAGTGGACCTGTTCGAGTCGAAACACGAAAATGTTTTATGATTTATTAAAAGGACAACGCCCCACTGGTCCCGCAGGCCCCACGGGTCTCGCAGATCCCACGAGCCCCACAGGTCCCAACAGGCCCCACGGCCCCCTCAAGCCCTACAGGCCCCGCAGGTCTCGCAGGCCCTAACAAGGTCGACGTTTCGCATAGGCCCCACAGGTCCTACAGGCCCCACGCGCCCCACAAGTCTGGCAGGTCGCACAGGTCGCACAGGTCCCGCAAGACCCACCGATCCCGCAGGTCGCCCAGGCCCCGCACGTCTCGCAGGCCACACAAGCCCCACGGGGGCACAAGTCTCACACGCCCCACAGGAACCACAGAGACACACACACACACACAAAAAAAAATGCTGAAAGCCAAAACGATGTTGAATCAGACTTAACGGGGCCCGTCGCACGAAGCGACATCGGCCTGGCAATGTTATGGAAGGACGTCTCGTCTGCATTGCGCGGTGCACGTTAGCCATCCGACTGCGGGAACCGAGTCGCACGGCAGCACGCGAAACCGCCCGCGCCAGCGGCCCAGTGAAGGATTAGTCTGGAAGAGCACGTGGGCATTAAGCGGCGCCCGCCCCCCGACGTCGCCCAATGACCTGGCCCGCGCTGCACTCCTGCGCACGCTGCCAACATGGAAAGGCGAATGTCACCGAATGATCCTTATTGGGCGTTGCCGTGTGCAAATCCTTCAAGACGAACGGCCTGTTGATTTTGATATTACCTTTCCCCCGGCTGCGTGGGCGTCGAACCTGCATGGGCGCGCCCCAGTCGTTCTGGAGGCAAGTGCCCTAGAGCGTCGGCAAACTCCGCAGTTCGGCCAGATGGTATGAGAAGCGCGCGATCCCTGATACAAGCAATCGCGCCCGGATGGCCGCCGTGCTCCGACGCGGCCCCCCATGGGAGGTCACGGAGGGGAACGCGAGGGAGAAGATCACGAAAATGCGGAGGAAGAGGGAAACGACGAGAGGGGAAGAGCAAGAGGAATAGAAAGGAGGCGAGCGAGGACGCTGATGATGTCTCGGCAGAAGAGCGCGAGCTAAGCAGTAGCCGGCGATGTGGCGAGAAAGCACGTCGTCTTCGTCGTGGTCGCCGTGGTCGCTGTGGTCCCCGTCGTTGTCGTAGTCGCAGTCGTCGTCGTGGTCGTCGTCGTCGTCGCTGCCGTCGTGGTCGCCATCGTCGTCGTCCTCGTCGACGTCGTCGTCGTCGTCCGCCGTTCTTGGCAACAACGGCTGCGCCTGGGGCCGAGAGGCCGCCCGTCTTTGTTGGAGGCCTGCGAAGCCTGCGGGGCCTGCGAGACTTCCGCGACCTGCGAAGCCTGGGGGGCCTGCGGGGCTGACGAAACCAAGGGGACTGGCGGGGCGATGTCCAACAAACCGCTTTGACGATCCGGCGGGGGGCGGGTTCTATTATGCAAATTCACGCACGGAATGCAGCTTAGGTTGCCCGGCAATCCCACTTAACGATCGGGCGGGCGCGGGCGGGGTGTGCAAATTCATACGCAGAACGCACTTCGCGCAAAGTGGCGCGCCCCAGCGCGCCCACTTTACGATTTGGTTTGTCCGCGTTTCGCTTGAAAAAACGGGAAGCATCCATCGGAAAGTGGAACTGCCTGAACCTAATAAGAAAATATAATGTTCTCTAGCATTTCCCACTTCATGATGGACGCTTCCCATCCTATCTTTCCTTCACGAAACGCTGAAAACAAAAAACAAATCGCAAAGTGGACACGCTGGGGCACGCCGCTTTACGCGAAGTGCGTTATGCGTATGAACTCACACACTAAACCCGCACCCGCCCGATCGTTAAGTGGGATTACCATGCAACCCGCCCCCCGCCGGATCGTCAACACGGTTTGTTGGACAACGCCCCACAGGCCCCGCAGGTCCCACAGGTCTCGCAGGTCCAACAAGCCCAACAGGTCCCACAGGTCCCACAGGTCCCACAGGCCTCACGACTCCCACACGCCCTACAGGCCCCGCAGGCCTCGCAGATCCTAACAAGGCCGACGTTTCGCACAGGCCCCACAGGTCCTACAGGCCCCACACCTCCCGCAAGTCTCGCAGGTCGCACAGGTCGCACAGGTCACGCAAGACCAACCGATCCCGCAAGTCGCCCAGGCCCCGCATGTCTCGTAGGTCCCACAAGTCCCTCCGGGGCAAAAGTCTCACACGTCCCACAGGACCCACAGGGCGGCACGCTAATAACCAAAAAGGAATTGCGCGGAAACCCGATACTTAAGCAGATTTACCCATCCCCGCGACAAAAATAAAAATGGCCCAAGGATTGAAACCGAAAGCATGTTGAAACAGACCAGGCTGGGCCCGTCGAGCGAAGCGACATCGGCCTGGCAATGTACAGGAAGGACGTCTCGCCTGCATTGCGCGGCGCACGTTAGCCATCCGACTGTGGGATCGAAGTCGCACGACAGAACGTGGAACCGCCCACGCCAGCGGCCGCGTGAAGGATCAATTTGGAAGAGCACCCAGGCAACAAGTGGCGCCCGCCCCCCACTGTCGACACCGGGCGCGCAAGCCAAAGCATGGCATATCAATGACTTGGCCCATGGTGCACGCCTGCGCACGTTGCCAACATTAAAAGGCGAATGCCACTTCATGATCCAATTCGGGCGTTGCCGTGTGCAAATCATTCAAGAC